GGGGAAGATGGCAGCGCCGAAGGCTGTGGTGCAAGGGAAATAACAGGGTCTGTGGCAAGCAGAGGATCTGGTCAGAAGCTTGAAGGAAGATCCTGGCCCAGCTGTAGGCTCCGGTTTTCTTTCTGAGCCCACACTGGAGTGCTGGTGACACGTAGCAAGCCAGCCAAGCAAAGCTTTCTCCTTTTTATTTTGTCCCCCCCCCCCAAAAAATCTGTGCTATTTCTTACGTGACACGATGCAGAACTCTCATTAGAGCACAGCTCGGGGAACGGATGGCCGTAATACCAGCTAAGGGCTCTGGGCCCACAAATAGCCCACAGCCAACAAATTCATACGTAATTAGTTTTTTCTCTAGGCAACGGGAAAAGAAGACAACCTTCCAATATTTAGTTAGAAGAGATTAAGTGTCCTTTGTGTCCTAGTTGATAGGGCAAGAACTAGCTGGCATTCTTAGCTGCAAAAGAGAGTTAAGAAAAACCAACCTATTTACGAATCTGTCCTGCAAGACCTAGTGTAGGGACACTGGACAGCTCGCATCCCACTGGGTTTAAAGTGCAGGTTAGAAAAGCTTCCCCACTAGCCTCTAGAGATGCTTGGGGGCTATTTTTCGGCCCTTACGCTTTGCTGCCTCCAGTCCCCCGGTGCGGAGCAAACCCTTCAGCAGTTGCATGCCTGAGCCGCTGCTCTGCCTCACTGCAGGAGGTGGACTAGCAACCTCTTGAACCATCTCTACAAGCACATGCCTATGATCTCATGCTAAACTAAAAGGAGGCTAATCTTAGCATAAATTTGCACTTATCCCATCTTTCATAAGCATAAAATGAAGGTGGAACACAGAGCGCTCGCAGGAAAGCAGTGTAGCAGGGAAGATTAAATGTAGGAACTGACAGCAGACTTGGCAGCGTCAGCTCTGGCAACCTGCTTCAAGGGAAGGCTTGGCCGCCAGTGGAGAGGCACTTTGAGCCAGGCATGGGGTCTGGTAACCGGGGACCACCCCTTCTGAACCCCTGCGACTGGCCTCTGTGTGCTCTGGCAAACCTGGCCAATAAACCAATAAAGCCTCAGCTGCATACCATCGAAAAGAAAATTTTAGCAGGCTGTGAATGCATCTCAAATGCTCTTATGACGATTTAAGCTATTCTGTCTTTGCTTCTGTGACAATCAGGTAATTTTTATATAATTATTCTCCCCTACTGAATAACCTGAGAGATATAGATCTCTCTCCACCCCCCCCATATATACAGTACCTGTGCACTACAGATGCGCCCTAACATCGGTGCATACCTACATCCCAATTCTCTCAGTTCCCCCCAAAATTGGAATGTTTTTAGATTCACTTCTGATGCAAGCAGATGGGCCTTGCAAGTCTTAACTCAGATCTTTTGCAGTCAACTGCAAGTATCTCAAATTCACGGAATAACTCAGGTAGTTTATTTCCTATAGACGACACGCATCATCTAGGAAAGGAAACAAGATTAAATGCACACGCACAGTGGTGCATTGCAGGCAACTTATTACTGCAATAATCACTTCTACTTGTCAATACTAGGATTGCTGCTTCGTACAGTTAATCACAGAAATAAGTTCTACTTCAATAATCTCAGTGCATACATTAGAATCCAAAAAGCACTTGAAGTATTTACCGGTTTATTTGTATTAGTTAAAAAATTGGCAGCAACTGTATTTTTATGTTACAAAATTATTTTTGGCCTGCTAACAAAACCTGCTACAAATTACTTGATCACTACTCACATCGTCTCTGTTCACCAAAAAGGTACCTTAGGAAACAAGGCTCGCCAATGGTGTCACCGTACTTGTTGAGCTTAAAATGATTCAAAAGAGACATTTGGTAGAAGCCACAGATATGGGCCAGAGATCCGGTCCCTACTGATCTGATATCCAGAGGTTTGATTTCCACTAACAGTAGAATGGTAGTCACAGCTGGGCTTTCTAAAAGGGAAATCTGATGTGGCTCAGGTGCCTGCAGGAATAAGTCACAGCAGAAGCCAGGGTAAGCACTTCTGGGAGAGATGAGAAGCAAAGGGGATTCCTCCTTGCTCCCTCTTTCAAATGACATCGGTGCAGTTTTAGAGCACAGCAGTTTCTCCCATAGCATGAGAAATGGGCTACAGAACTCAGCATGGCAAATAGGAATATGCAGCGTACAAGACTTTCAAAGATACTATATGCTACAAAAACCCTATGGTTAAGACAATCAAGTCCCAAGACTGTTTCAAACAGCTCCACCTTTAGGATTTTTAATTATTAAAATCATGTCACTGAATCAAAAGAGGTCACTAAACCCAAGCTTTTGTATTCTGCTTCAGCTACAGTTATGAAGCAGGAGGTCTGTAGAGGAAGTATGCTTTATATGCTCAGTGTCAACTAGCTTGGAACACAGCAGTTTAAAAATTATTACAGATTAAATGTAAGTGGTTGATTCTTTAGTACTCCTCCTTCCAGTCACTTCTTGCGCTATATCCTCAGTCATATCTTGTTCTGACTTAAGGGAAAAAAAAAAAAAAAAAAAAAATCGGGGCATAGTTCTGTTTACATGACTCATCAGGTGTTCTTCTGGGAGCTAAAAAGAAAAATAAGTTTAATTACTATTATATAGTACTTCAGGCAACTTTCAGCCCGAATTATAATCAAATGTCATTTGGAAACACATGGCATAATATGAGATTGGATTAACTCCATTACCTCAAGATGAGAAATAAAGCCCAAGTATCAAAAGCCTTCAAGGAGGCACCTACCCTTGGTTAATAATTCCGTTCAAAAGAGCCCCTTTACTTCTTCTGTCACTGGGTCCAAGTCTATATCATAGAAACAGGGTCTCGTAGGAAGTCCTGGCATAGTGCTCATCTGGACAACAAAAGACAAAATGTTAAAATGGAAGCAGCATAGTTTCACGCAGAAAGTATAATACTAAATCACTGCTGAAGACTATGATGGCAACGGCCGATGCAGCTCCTTGCACTCTACGTACCAGCTGGATGATGGTCACGTACCATTTTGCAGCATACCATGAGAATCAGGAACTCCTGGCTCAGTAGATAGATCTGGGGCTTTGGGGTTTTTTGGGGGGGAGGTTTGGGGAGTTTTTTTGTTTGTTTGGGGTTTTTTGTTGGTTTTTTGTTTGGATTTTTTGGGGTGTATTTTTTTTTTTTTTTACAATGAGGATTTAGTTTGGCTTATGCCTCTGCCAGTGACTGAGTCCAAGATTTGGCAAAGTACCTAGATATCCAGCTGACCAGTTAACTGTTAGAGGAGCATTCATGGACTTTACTGTGGAGAGAAAATAATTACTTGTGGCAGTTTCCTGGTTACTAAAATGAGGATACATGTTTTAATACAACTTTACTGACTGTAAAGTCTCAGTTGATTACAATTCTTTAAGAGTCTAGAACTAGAAGCATTAAATAATTAGGAATAATTACTGTTGAGAAGAGAATTTAAATACTTGGGGGTGGGCAGGTCTTTTTTGGGGGTTTTGTTTTTGGTTTTTTTACTGGGTTAAAGCTTAAATGGAGATGGAGAGGTCAGTTCTGACTGGAACATTTCTGAGGCATTCAAGTCAGAAGGGCCGTGCAGTGGCAGAACTGCAGCTAGCAAAACAGCTGCCAGCACTACGCCTGCCTCAGGCCAGTCCTCTCCAGTTGTCCGAGTACTCTCCGCTGCCGAGTACCCAGTTTCAGAGCTGCAGAACGCAAGGCTGGCGGGGACTACGCTTGGCCTGATTTACTAACACAGCTGACAGGATTTCCCCTTCCCTAACTCAGCATTTAGCCCAGCAGCACATGCAGGCTACATACAGATGCTCTACAAAGGTGGGCAACTCGTCACCATGCTTGGTACTTTGTGCCAGTGGTCATTAACCCCTTTAATAAAAAATTCAAGGTCTCATTTTCTATCTGCATCATCTGGCCTCAGCTTTCACAAATCAATATTGTTATGCCTGTCTCCATTAGATTAAAGATCTCTTTGGCAACCTGGTATTTTCTTCCTGAGCAAGTATTTTGCACACTAATCAAATTACCTCCCAATCTTCCTTTTGATAATAAGCTAAGCAGCAAGGAGGCAAAGCTCTATTGCTTAGGCATTTTCTGAAGTTCTCAAAACTGTTCGGGGAGCTTTTGGAGTCCTGTCCCGTTTTCCTAAGCCGTTTAACAAGTGCTAATATGTCCCATATGTACCGTACCACTGCAGGTCTTGCATGGATTATGCAGAAGTAAAAATCAATTCTACTCTTCATAATGAATTCTAGGACTGCACCAGCTTTTTGTCAGAGCTGCTGCTTTCCCAGACAGAGAACAGGGGGACTACAGAGAAGACTGTCATTCCTTGTCCTTGTGTTTAGTTGTATGAATATTTTGCTCTCAAGAGCCAAGGTTTTAAGAGATGTAAAGTGCCTGGAAGGGTTTTCCTGTTCCCACCATAGTCACTGCCAGTCTCCAGTCACGCAGAGCAAGAAACTTCCTATTTATTTACACATCACTGTACTATGATTCGTATTTACGAATCATAGAGCTTTGCAAATCTCCACCTACAGATTCAGAGGGCCACAGCAGGAGCTGAGACAGTGACATTCAACAGAGTACGAGGTGCCATATCGCTGAAGATGGGCCTGACTTTACTATTTCTTGCATTTTCTATTTTGAAAGGAATGGTCACTTTTCCTCCTTTCCCATCCATAGGGCAGCCCACAGTGGCTACTCTGCTATCTATTTCTTAAAGACAGTCTGTAATCCCTGAATTTCTATGCAGTACAGGATAGTCTCCACCCAGGCTACTAATTTTCTGTACAAGTGTCTACAATGCTTAATGCACTCAGTTATTTTCAGAGCTGAAGAAATGAACTCTTCCTCCATTATCCTCCTCCCTTTCAATGCCACGTGCTGAAAAAGAACACAGGGCAATTCATGCTATTTACTTACACAAAAAAATTAGACCACATGGATATCATCAATCCCTTTGCAAGATTTCAAATAAAACCAATATCAACTAAGAATTTATTGCACTTGTGGAACTTCTGAAAAAAAAAAAAGCCATTTAGGAACTAAAAAAAACCAGAGCCGAATAAATAATTTGTTTTCAATTCATCAGCAGCACGAGAAAAGAAACCCAACCAATTTGAGTCCAATGATTTATTTCATTTTCATTATCTTCCATGCTCAAAGTTAAATCTACATAATCTTTGAAATTATATTTCCCTTAAAACCTCGAAGTATTTCACTAAAGCACAACAGCTTCAACTTTGAGCCAGAAAGGGAAAAACCCACAACTCAGAAGCCAAGAAAAAATAAAATGTGACATACCTTTGTGATTAACTTCAGATAACAAGAATATGCATGCACCGGTGATTAATTTCACCTCAAATTTCTCATAAAACCTTCTGCAGAGAGCTACATATTTGCTGTATTTTCAGCTCACAGTCCAATGGCTGCTGCCAAAAATTTATTCTGAGGCTAACACACCCCAAAAAAAAGAATGGGTTTAAAATAGTGATCCGATTCAAAATGCCCTGGATTGCTTCTCAAAAGGACATCTCTTCCCTGGCTTTGTAGACACCACAGAATAGCGATCTTCATGTCCCTAACCAGAAGACTTACTGTTAATTCTGGCAGAATTAACACCACAATTTACTACATGCCCAACAAAACATTAGGAATCTGGGAAGGGAGCAGAAAGAGTCCAACTTCATAGAAACTGAAGACATCGGAAAAAGAGCCAAAACGTTAGTTTTGATGTCTGAAAACACCTTTCTCTTGTGTATCTCATTAGTGCTGTGTACCCTTTCCTTCTCCAGTGCTTATTAAAAAAAAAAAAAAGAAAAAAAATAATTGTTTGGATTAAATCTTGGCTTGCAAAAAATGCCATTAATAACAGGAACAAGCATGCTACCTTTCATTTCATCCCAAAACACATATTACTCTTTAAAAAGATGGATGAGCCAGACTTTAATCAGGATGTGGTTATTTTATTTATGCTGGGTAATCTGGAAACCCTTACCTACCTTTTTTTTTTTTTTAAAGAATTGAAAGAAAAAGATATACAATATTTGGGTCTAGCTAGCATTTGAAGGAAGAAGGGATCCAACTCATAAATCAGCAAATTTCATCATCTGAGCCATGCACCCCTAATGCTTTTGAAAGCTTATTAAAACAAACATGTTGCCATGAAGACTTCAGAAAAAGGTTCAGGCCCCAAAAATAAGAAAAAGACAGCTGCTTGCTCCAACTACTCCATCCCCTAAAATGATCTAACAAGTTACTTAACGTTTGCCCAGAAGAGATTCCCCAGATAAGATTTCCAGTGGATTCTTTCATCCTAACATTCTTTCTTTGGATGCAAACCTGAACATAAGCTTGTTTTGCAGGTAGCTCCTCTTTCTGCCAGGCAATTCATATCAAAGCTATTCTAGGATCCTGTTTCCATTGAAGCTACTCTCTCTCTCCTCTCAGTTGACATTATGCTTATCATGTCAAAGAACAGAAACTAAAAACTCAAGGGCATAGTAAAATGAATTGTTGGAACTGATGCAGGCTGAAGAGCAAACAGATGGTCAGCAAAACCATGAGAACCAAATGGGAGGGGAGACTGACAAATGACTAACAGCACAGGTCAGCTTCACTTACAGAGATGTCTCATCAGAAGCTGTTTGTTTTATAAGCTTTGGAGGAGTTGTCTTGTTCTACCCTGATCTGCAGGTGTACAGTCTTCACCTGCAATACTGCAAAGTGCTTTCATCAGGAATGCAAAGTCACAACAGCAATTAGGTGGGCCAAGGATTTCTCCCATCCCCTCTACCAGACTACAGTTCCCAGAATTCATTAGAATCATGGAATCATTTAGGTTGGAAAAGACCTTTAAGATCATCAAGTCCAACCATTAACCAACCACTACCAAGTCCACCGCTAAACCAATTAAGCGTGGAGTAGTAATTAATTTCATGTTTCCTGGCTTGGTGGCTGGATTATTTTTAATGAAAGTAAAACTAGGAATCATTAAGGTTGGAAGGGACCTCTAAGATCATCAGTCCAACCATCAACCCAACACCACCATGCTTACTAAACCATGTCACAAAGTGCCACGTCTACACGTTTTGTGAATGCCTCCAGGGATGGTGACTCCACCACCCCTCTGGGCAGCCTGTTCCAATGCTTGACTACCCTTTCCGTGAAGAAATTTTTCCCAATATCCAATCTAAACCTACCCTGATGCAACTTGAACCCATTTCCTCTTGTCCTATTGCTAACTACTTGGGAGAAGAGACCAACACCCACATCACTACAACCTCCTTTCAGGTAGTTGTAGAGAGCAATAAGGTCTTCCCCTCAGCCTCCTCTTCTCCAGACTAAATAACCCCAATTCCCTCAGCCGCTCCTCATAAGGCCTGTGCTCCAGACCCTTCACCTGCTTTGTTACCCTTCTCTGGACACGCTCCAGCACCTCAATGCCCTTCTTGTACTGAGGGGCCCAAAACCAAACACATTATTCAAGGTGCGGCCTCACCAGTGCCAAGTACAGGGGGACGATCACTTCCCTGCTCCTGCTGGCCCACTATTCCTGATACAAGCCAGTTACTCTTCTAGCTACAGAGCTCACCCTTTCCTCATAATCCACAAAAACAGAGATGTGGAACGTGAGGAGTGCACTGGGGGCTTGCTAAGTATTCAAATGGTCAGATGGTCTATTTTAGCTTCCCTGTTCCCCCTGGGGAAAAAACTTACTAAGGGCATTTAATACACTGGACTGTTATAACACCATCTGTAAATGATAAGGACTCCCCTAATTTAAGATACCTTTTGTAACTGCTTACTGGAATGCACATGAAGTTTTTTCCTCACCCCATAGTTGAGGGCTTAACTCAATCACATACCGTTCCTACTAGCGGATACAGGAATCCAGCACCAACGCTGGCCCGAATGTCTCGAATTGGCAGAACAAAACCCGTAGGTGCTCCTTTTTGTTCAGGGTCATGAGACAATGATAAGTGAGTTTTAGCCATGCAGATTGGCAGGTTTCCAAATCCCTGGGAAAGGCAATGAAGAGAGAGAGAAAGAAGAGAGAAGTAAGCGAAAACCCAGTAACCTTTCCTGTACAGAGATGTAATGGCTGTATTCTGCCATTCTCTGCAGACGTCAGACATTTTATCAGGACATTTAATTTTCACCAACTGCTTCACCCACAGCCTGTCAGATCTATTGACCATTCTACATTCCCATTCCTTCTCTCTCAAAAATCTCTCTCCACCCCCTGCTAAGTATTAAAGAACCACCATGGCCCCCAGCACATCCAACTGAGGAAAAAATTTAACGGTATGGAAGTGTTAGATATACAACCTTCATAGCTAACTTACTTTCTACTCTGTTCCCAAAACATTAATTTAAATAGCTCAGAACTAAAGTTCTTGTTCAGCTGAGGTCATTTAATTAGAAATATTTGATCAATATAATTGCAGGTCGTGAGGAAGTAGCAATTACATAGCTATGGTATTTTGATAGACTTGTAAAGGAATATACATAAAACATGAAAGTGAGAAACTATATATACCAGTAGTAAATGGACTGCAAAAGCAAAATTATTCAAGCACACTGTAAACAAAGAGTGGCTAGTTCTCACATTGCCCTTCTCTTCAAAGCCCTTTACAGTCCTTCATTAATGCAGAAGCAGGTAAATTCACAAGAATGTCATGCTAGAGAAGAGAAAAAGCAACACAACCAGAAAGCATCTAATTCAACAACCAGATGCCAGGTTTAAAACTTATAAAAGTAGATTTTTTTCCAAAAGAAGTATTGTATCAGCTGTGGAACTCTTTCTGTGAGGTAATTGAGATGGCTAAAAATCCATATGGGTTCAAAAACTGATTAGACAACTCAGTGGAACAAGATTTAAAAAAAAAAAAAAAACCCAAACCCAAAAAACCATCAGAGACTATTTAGCACCAGTCTGACCACTTGTAGTTCCCCAGTTCCTAAATCGCTGAAGGACTGGAGAATACAGCAGTGAAAGACCACTGAATCCACCTGCTCTTCTCTCCCCATACGCTATCACAGATGTGCTTCTGGGCCAGATGAGTTCTGTCTTCTCCACTAGAAGACAGGGCCAGTTTCTCCCTCCCCATACCACCTCCTCTTCCTCCTCTGCCATAGCAGCATCCAATGAGTCCCAGACAAAGACATGATTTGAGTGATGATTCCCTTCATGCACAGTTTGAACATCACTGTTCAATATGAACATTTTAAACGAAAAGCACCACTGGTATCAGGTGACGTGGAAGACTCACTTGCTTAGTGTACAAGGCAACTTTCTCCTGTGCTTCTGGAAGCAGCTCAATGTCACTGGCCCCATAGATCTGCTGTGCAATAAGTCTGATCTTATCTATAACAGGGAGCTAGGGAAAAAAAAAAAAAAGATGACAGGCAAGTCAGTGTGGCCAAACGACAAAGAGCTGTAACATCACAGCAGCTTCTCAATCCTTCATATGTGCTGTGCAATGCCCATCTACAGACACAAGAGCTATTCCCGTTTGCTGTAGAACAAAGCTATACAGTAATTTGAGGGTGTTCAGAACAGGTTTCACTTATCTTGTTGCAGTTGTTTCTCTTGGTAAGAGGGCACTACAGTCAGAAACAAAAAGACACACAACCGTATTTCTTATAAGCTGTGCTTGCATGTTCATTACCCATGCTGCAAAAGAGGTATCTTAATTCTTTCTCAAGTCTAATTCAAAAAGCAGACAAACATAATTCGAGGGGATACAAGTCAACAGTTAAATAAAAGCACAAATAAAACAGGTTAAAGAAGAAAAACTGAAAGCATCTGTTAAAGAGCTAAAATAGATATAGTGACATAGCTCTGTACTTCATTAGGTTCTTGAATAGGTGCCTGCTGTTAAAGGAGGATTCAGGCCATAACCTGGGAACTAACAGTGACTTCGTTACCTCCAAGTCATCTGTCAAATTTGCTTAAGTACAAAGTCATTAGAAATACATACAGATGCACTCTCTTCCACCCTGACCTGTAGCGTGACTCCATAAACCTTACTTGCAGAGGAAAAAAAAAAAAAAAAAAGTTAAAAATAGACAAATTCTGTTCCATAGCCTGTTGTACAGATTCCCATCCTGAGCAACAAGTGTGCCCAGCAGCTCTGTGGTAAGGTAACAGGTTTGGTCAGGCTTGTCCCATTCCATGCTCTGTCAGGAATGCACGTCTCCAGTTCAAAAAGTAAACTTTCCCCTACCCTGGAATATGGCTACCACGGTAGAAACCTGTTTGTCATCTCTAGCAGGGTCACAGCAGCATCTTTCAGTGTCAAAAGTAAATACTTGGTAGTCAAAACAACAAGAACTGACTAACTAGGACTGGGGGAATAAATCATAGAATCATAGAATCATCTAGGTTGGAAAAGACCTTTAAGATCATCCAGTCCAACCATTAACCTACACTACCAAGCCCACTCTAGACTAATCAAATGTTATGTTCTAAAACCAAATTCCTTCTCAGTTTTTCAGAGCTGCCTTTCAGACAGCCTTCAGCAACTTAAGCTAGTGAAACCAACTGATCTCCGCCTTACAAAGAAAGTACCTCTGTAATACTGCAAGTTCTTACCTCCACATTATAGAGGAACCTGAAGTTGCTGGGTGTCTGCGATGCTCTCTGAACAGCTCGGGCCAGCGCAACCGCTCCTTTACCTCCCTCTGCCCAGTGAGTGCACTCCACAGCATCGAACGCTCCCGCTTCCTTTGCCAGTTGTACTACAAGGGCCAGTTCAGCCTTTGTATCCGTTCTGCAAAGAGAAAAGTTTGTGCATTTGTACCAGAATGCACACACAGTAAATTAACTGTTTGTTCTAATCATTTGTCGCTCTTGTTGACAACATCCAAAAGCTGTCCAAAGAAATCACAGAATCCAGCCATCAGAAAGCTGCTGAGGGGATATCCACCACAGCCTTCTCCACCTTGGTGAAGGAAGGTACTCCACAGAGGAACAGACAGCAACAGGTAGCTCTGGACCTACATGCAGGAATCCACGACTACTGACAGAGCAGCGTTCCAGGCTTTCTGTGGTATCTGTCCTCTATTGGCAATGCAACTCATGTTTTCAGAAGTAAACTCAAAAAGGTGTTAGTATTGCTGATTTAGAGGTGCTATATCATGTGCACACAACAAGCTAAAAACCATAATTTCTCTAGATCAGCCAATACTCATTTACTTCAGATGAATAATCCTTAGCTGGCTACTCCACTTCAACAGGCATCAGCTTTAACACACCAGCTCAAAGCCCTTCTGGTTGCATAGAAAGACCACACACAGATTCTATTTCCTGTGCAGTACACCGTGCAGAGCCCAAAATGCTTCTTAGCAGGGCATAATTATTCCATACAGTAGACCACTGAACACAGTGTGGTCGACAGCGCAGGCACCTCACCATCTATTATGTGCTTAGATTCTGCATCGTCACAGGCACCTTTTGTCCACGGTAATTTGGCCAGTCAGGGTATAAGTGATGGCAGATAATAGTCACTGATCATAAAATCCTAAGCAATTTAAAAGGAATGCATTTGAAATGACTAAGCAGAGCTCCCCTATTTATTCAGCATTTTCCGAACAATGCAAAATGTTGCGAACGATACATCAACAGTAGTGAAAACAAGTTTGTGTTAAACATAGCATATAAAGTGCCACAATTTTATTCCCACACATCACTTCGATGTCCCAGCTCACTTACTTGAAAGCATTGACAGCCACTACTACTGGGACACCAAACATCCGTGCATTTTGGATTTGCTTGTTTAGGTTACTGCAGCCTTTTGCCAACAGTTGAAGATTCTGTAACGAAGACGGCAAGCAGGAAGCACATTTTATCAGGGGCAGTGAAACTTTTTGTTCCAAATCTACTACGTCTACAGCTAATGATAAAAATGTCAAAATGGGAATGAAATCACAAAGGCAAGTCCCCAGTGCTACTTTCTGAACATCCTGACCAGTGCAGGCTCTTGGATGGAAGACAGGAAAAGGAATGACTACTTCTAATGATCACTGGTTTCAGCTGCCAAGCCAAGGTAAGAGAAATCACATTTTATCTTTTTTTTTTTGGTTATTCTTAGTAAGTTAATACCCCTGCTCATTAACTCCTCACAGTAAAGCCTCATTTTCCTCTCTGACACATTCCTCTTTATATATTAAATATCATTAGCAGTGAATTTCATGACACTTGTTTGAAGCCTGTGGCAACAGCTTTCGGTTTACACATATTTACATATTGCAGCATCAGAGACTATTCGTGGAAATCCAGACATTTCACCCCTTCCTATGCAAAGAATAATCCATACAGAAGCTCCACAAGTGAAAAAGCTGCAGCAGTGTAAAGAGAGCCAGACCAATTATCCAAATGTATACAACCATTCAAGGTACAAGGAAAGAAGCTGAGATTTTAGTTCCCTTTCCTCTCTGCTTGCAAAGGAGCGGGGGAAATAAAACCAGAAACTGCTACTGCTAAGATGAGAGTAATTAGAGAGGCACTCTGCATATTTTCAGAGACAGTATTTCAGCCAAGAAATTACTCCATACTGAGAGGGTCAGGGGACACAGAGTAGATATTACTATGAAAAATTGAGTGCACAGACAATTGCATGAGCTCAGGAGAAATGAAAAGGCTCTGAATACTGGCTAGATCAAGTACAATAAACACTTGAAAGAGCAGAGCCAAAGTAACATCATTAAATTAAATTAAAAAAAAAAAGAGAACATTATAGCTTTTATGAGGAAACATTTCCCTGGCAGCTAAAGAAATGACACACACTAGCTATCCAGGCGTGCACTGCATGACAATGTCGTGTCATGACCGCAGTTAGTTGGTCAACCGTCACAACAGCTAAAGAAGGTTACCTCTTCCATGTACTCCTTTGGTAAAGGTACCCCAGCAGTGACCTGGGGAAAGAAGGAAAAAAAAAAAACATGGCACGCCATAAGATTTTTATCCATGACAGCAATTCGTGCTTATTAAATAGTGTCAAGATACAACGTTCTACTCCAAGGCTGATCCTTTTTTCTAAGAAAAAAAATAAAAGGAAGACTAAAAGACTGCAAGATACACTCACAATACAACAAATGACTGACTGTGGTAATATCACAAGTGCCCCAGCATACGGCCACTTCATTAGGACAATAAAACAAGCAGGTATGTACCTGTAACATACTACAATGAAGCAGCTTACAAGCAGCAGGGACGCATGGAATCCTTTTACAACTGCAAATCTCAAGACAATTACAAGCAGATCAAACCCTGCAGGGCTTATAAGTGACTGGAGCAGAACAGTAACAGCCCCTCACGCCTAAAGAAAACCTGGCCTAGTACTTACTGCAGGCCCTCCTCCATGCATTTTCAGAGCTCGGACAGTAGCAACCAACACCACCACATGAGGCCGGAGACCAGAATAGCGGCACTTAATATTAAAGAATTTCTCCATGCCTATGTCTGCACCAAATCCTGCTTCTGTAACTAGAGTAGGAATTAAAAGAAAAGAAGCTTGTGAGAGGTTGCTGGGCAGAGAAATCATGATCTGATTATATAAATCAGAAGCTTCTTCCAAGACAAAAAAACCCAAGACAGTCACAATAAAAAAAGGCAGATCCCTCCCTGCAAAATAAACAAACAGAAAGCAAACAAAAAACCACCCCACACACTTACCAACAAATCCCTCTTTACCCACAAGCTTCAGTGCTATTTTGTCTGCCAGCACTGAAGAATTCCCATGTGCAATATTGGCAAAAGGTCCAGCATGAACAAACACTGGTGTTCCCTAGAAAGGGGGGGGGGGGGGAGAAAATCAGAGGATACAATTTAGCAAATCTGCAGCATTTCAGGAATTAAGTACTATGGTACCTGAAGGTGACAAAAAACCCACCAAACCACAACACGCTTTTAGAAGACAGATCTTAAAGCCTTCTGATCAAACATTCGTTATCAGTAATAAGGACTACAGGGCAAACAGGATTATAATAATCTGCACAAGTGGAGATATTAATCCGCTTAGGAAAAGGATGGCTAAATCCCAGCAACTCTTTGCCATTATGCATCCACACCATTTAGATTCCCAAAACATTTCCTGGCATTAAGGACAACAGAACAGAGATACAGCAAAGTTTAGTGCATTTCCTCAGGGCCATCCCACATGCCAATGGCAGACCTAGAAAGAAGCTAGCCTTCTCCCCTAGCCCTGAACCCTAGGTGGGAAACCACAGTAAACCTCCAACTCTAAGCTGAGTAAGCCCACACTGATTGTGATGAATGAGCTAAACCAGTTGCATCTTGGCTCTGAGAATACACATATAGCAAATCATCTGTGCTCACCTCTAGTGTCTGCATGAGGTTTGGTTTAACAGCATCTTTCATCAAGACAGCCAGAGCACCAGTCACTCCCTAAAAGAAAAAAAGGGCGATCAGTTTCCAGATGTACCGAGACCTGGAGACAGTTCCCATGCAGCGTCAAGGCTCTGCTTTTGTCCTGGCGAGCTTTCAGGACCAGAACCAGCAGTTGTTCTAGATATAACTAATGCTAGTCAGGGCAAGGCAGAATAATGACCTTTACATCCTTGTAAAAGGACTGGTGATTTCTGCTGGAGGCAGCCTCTTGGTTGTGACCTTGCTTGGCCATCGCTTTGGAGCGAGGGCATAAAGACCAATCGCTGTTTCAGTGCTACAGCAAGGTTAGTAAACTATAGCAGCGAGAGGGTAACCCTTAGGTACGTACGGTTTACTGTAGCCCATTCAGTGGCACAAAGCAGGGAGTTTTTCAGGACAGTTGTTACACAGGTTGAAATACTGGACCACACTCATCACCCTAGTATCTCAACTGTAGCATTACCATCTGCCTTTTGCAGTATCTAAGCACACTAAGAAGTTTAAAGTTACACCGATGTCAATGTTCTTGGGTTTTGCAGGTAGATTTGTCTTGGACTTTTTTCCTTCCTCATTTCAGCAACTAGGCTCTACATATTGGCCCTAAAATGTCGTTAACAAGCTGCTACATCCTGGCCAAGTCTCTTGTGCAGAAATAACTTTTAAAGTGAACCTCTGTGCTCATGAGAAAAGACCAGGCTGATATCATGAAAGGCAAACACTGGAGGCCATGTTTCCTCTGAGGTGCAGCAATATACCCCACTACAATTCTGCTTCCTGCAAAGTGAAAGCTTGTGATTTTATCCACATCTGCTTTTGGAAGCGAAACTGAGGGTTTGGTCACTCTTGTGACTGACACAGTCCAGTAGAAACCAAACTGGCTGTTACTCAGCACTTGCAAAAGTAACTAGAATTGCTATCATGGGTACTGAGCCAAATGTTCACAGCAGTTATGAAAACCTTGAATCATGATTTCTTTTTTTTCTTCCCTTTTAATTTCAATTGGATTGCAGCACTCAATTATAGGAAAGATTTTTTTTAAAGACATTCACTGCTTTGTTTCATTAGTTTCAATCTTGCCACATGAAAGCTTATTTAACATTTAATGGATAAGCTTTAAACTTCAGACATCTCCAGAATAATGAAACTACAGAGCAAGATTTCCATGGTGACATTTCAGGCCTGTGTCACTCAATGGCACTTCAATACATACCATCTACTAAAAACCTGTAGCCGGTTTTTGATTCCACGTTTCTTTGCACTTCCTGGTAGCACACTCATGACACTGGTTATATCACAGCAGAAGGACCCAGACATCTTATTGTGCCAGTCTGGTCTCTGCGATCACCACATTTCTGCCTGCATGAGGAGTATGTAACACAGTCCTAATGATGCAAGCCAATGGCTGCCATCAGCACAAATATGTAACATTCAAGAGAACCTGTTGGACAGGTCTGATACCATCCTCCATTCCACAGTTGCAGTGGACAAAATTACGCTTAATTAGGATAAAAAAAAAAAAATCTTCAGATGAAAGACTTCTATCACCTGGACTCTACATAAAACTCAAAGCAACTCCCTACCCAAGCACCATCTACCTCCACTGCTGATGGGCAGCAGGAGAGACTCCTGTTTTCCAGAACAGGGTTTATCAGGTACTTAAGGTTAAACTGGCAGCATGCTAGCAGTAGGAATTAAAATCTCAAAGCTGCCTACAGAACTTTGGCACATGCTCTTCCTCATTCCCAAACGTCTCTCATAAGGACATTTACAGATAAATGGTTCCCAGCCTAGCCCTCTTCCTGCAAGGCCAAAGTCAGGCCACATTGTTAATCTACTGTTTGTTAGGCTTACCCTGGGAAGAAGTAAAACAAACCCCCCC